TTCCTGTTCAAAGGGAGTTTTTCCTCTCCACTGTCGCTACAAGCATGCTTAGGGTGAGGGATTGCTGAAGAGTCAACGACAAAATGCCAGAGAAAATCACCACCATAAGCTCATCCAGGAGGGGAACGTGTTGCAGGTCAATGACTGGATACAATCAACCGTTTTTCCTAACCAATGTAAAGTCTGTTAGAAATTGTTGACTGAGACACATCAGACTGCAAGGAACAAAGCTTCCTCTTAATTCAGACACTTGCAAGTGGAGAGCTCACGGTTACACAGAATCTCTCAGTGAGCTCTGACTGGGGTGGCTCATTCCCCTCTACATATAGATCACTATCCCGCGTAAAAGAGGTTACAAAACATTAACAGAGACTCTTTTGCACAACACAATGGTTTCCACAGAACTGACCTGTTGAGGTGTTTCATAGTAACTGTTTTACCTCTAATTGCTCTTGCTTGTTCCTGTTTAAAGAACTCCTATTTCAAAGTGACCGTTCCCAGCTTCTGCACAGATGTTTATCCTGTTAAGAAACTCTGCTAAGTTTCTGCAAGGTCATCTTACATCCTTATGACCTTTTACAAATATACTGCTTGTTTAAAAAGATAGATATAAGTTGAACACACAATTTTGATTTCTGGTAAAGTGCCTTTACATGTGTTTTAAATTAGCGTTATATAAATAAATTGAATTGAAATATTTCATTTGTGTTTTCAGAAAAAAATAAAAATGTCTCCATCAATTTAAAAATCTCCTAGTTGCCAATTTAAAATCTGATCATAGTGAATTAGATTATAGATTTCCTTTTCTTCTACTCTTACCTCGTTCTGCAGCTCATCATCACTCCTCTGGGAGGCCAGCATCTCAAACAAGGAGGTGCACAACTCCTCTGGGTTGGACGAAATCATGTTCCCTCCTTCCAGGTATTTCTCCACTTCTCTTTGAAGGACAGATCCATCCCCAGAGCCAGAACGTGTTCCAGAGTGGGCGACTTCATCTTCACCGGTGGACTTATTTCCGCTCTGCTGATTACTGAGAAAGTTGATAAAGTGTTGCTCCACTCTCTCAGACTCCTGAAGGTCTTCCAGTGGGTCAAGTGAATAAAAGTCATAGGAGAAGGCGATGTTGCGTCCAAAGGAGGAGCCTCTCTGGGCGCTGTGACGAGAACTCTGGGTTTGGATGAAGTCTTCCACTCTGGAGTCACCGAGCGGCGCCACCAGCCGAGCCACGCAAGCGCAGGAGGCTTCGGCAGCGGAAGACGGGAAGGGGCCGAACATCTGCTTGATGGCGCGGGTCTCCTCGGTGCCAACATGGTCTTTGTTATGAAAGGTCTCAAACAGAAAGACAGCAGCACATTCGATGGCTTCCTGACCGTGATCTGCACCAACTGTTCAACGGAAAAAAAGCACAAAGACATTTAGTTAGACTTTTATGTCACCATGGCAACGGTTACTGTGGTTATATCATATTCATACAGATTAATCGATTTGCAAAATACTGGTTAGTTGCAGCCCGATTCTAAAGGAACATGACATCTATTCTTTCTCCCTGTAAGCATGGCCGTGTTTTTATTACTGGCAGAATGAACTTTGACCCTGCAGCAGATTTCTGCACATGCACTGTAACAGGAGGACCAGTGCTGGCTGGCCAATAGAGGGCGCTAGGGCGCCACTCCACCCAACCAGTGATCCTGATTAAGACATTAAAAAAAGGACAGAGCTCGATGTTAACCATCGTCCGATCTCCCGGGGCAAGTATTTTTTATTGTTGGGAGAGTACAAATTTCATTGCATTTGCCCGCCAGGCAAGTGCAATGATCGCAAAAAAAAAAATATTTATCACTCAAAATTACTTTAAAATCACCGACATTCGATGAAAACGACCCGGAAGCGTTGCTGGCACCATTTTTGTTGTTTTGTACACATTCTCGCGTGATTTAAAAAAGCCGGGTGATTTTCCGCCAGATGGCGTTTTGTCCCCCTAGCGGTAATTTTGATGTAGTTACCAAAACGACAAACGGCTGCATTTATTCTGTCAGGGAAAACTAATCCTGAGTCAGTTAAAGTCAGGAAATTCTGAAATGATGTCAGACTGTGGAAAACCTGAATAAAATAACTATGTATAATGATTCTCTAGAAAAGTCACATTATATTAATAGTATTATCTTCTATAAAC